TATTTAAAATAATTATTAAAAGAAATATTTTTATGCAAAATCACCTATTTACATATATTTTACTAACAATTTCGAATTAAGTGAAATGCAATCTGCACACATTTTTCACATTATTTTACAACAGAAGTTTTTTCGTAGACAAAATTAATACGTTTACATCACCTAATAATTTATTCGTATCGTTACGCATCTTAACTATGGTTCTAATCTATGTAAGTAACTATATTAAAAACTATTTGACCTTATATAGCTAAATTTAGTTGAAACATGTGACCAATATTAAATTCTTGGTCTTTAATAAAATAAAGTGGTTGTTCCCAATGAGAACAATTGAATTTGAAATGAATCAGTTTGAACATTTTTAAATGGTCTCGATGAACAAAATATATAAATAAAAGATTATTTTAAAAATCTCATAATTTAATAAAATTAAATTGTTTTTGTAATGTACAAGCAAAATAAAAAAAACAGATAAATCCTCTTACTATATAGTCGGTCGTTGTCAATCTTCTTGGATTAAACATTTGAACAAAAACAAAGTATTCGTTTTCTTTTTTGTTTTCCGGTGAAAATATTAAAAACTATATTATTTTGATACATAAAAAAAACACCTTTCATAAATTAACTTATTCGTCAAAACATTTTACACGTAACTTAGAATGAATTTTTTGATGCTAAAACCTTTCATACCTAAACTAAACTATTTTACATAGTATTATTATGCACATTTTTTTCATTGGCATTCCCAATATAATATATCTACTATAGCCAGTAAATTTAAATGATAGTTTCATATTTAATATGCAGCTGTAATTGAAAACTTCTAACCATGTTATAAATAATACTATAATAGGGGGGGGGGGCTAGTCGTGTATTAAAAAAAACAATAATTATGTAGAAGCGATTGACACACATGGGGTACCTGATAACTATTTTCTGTATGCAAGTGATTTTATAATTATTTTTCAAACATATGTTCTCAGTTGTACTGTTTATTATGAAACGTAGACAACAAAAACACGAAACCTCATTCATCGTGACCAGAAAAACGCACCTATCAAACCTAAAAAGTGTGTGCCAGAGACGTTTTCATATGAATACGTTTGATGGAAATATACAATCACACTTTATCCAAAGTAGACCTACATACCTAGAACCATAATAATATGTCAATTTTATTTTATCGAGAATCCCATAATTACGTAACTAAATTGACATAACCTACATCAACGTAGATTAATAGTGTGCAATAATTCTACAACGATTTTAGTATCAATATAATATGAATGATAAAATATTGAACTTGTGGTACACTTATATTGTATAGCTATTATATTAATTAATAATCACAATAAGACGACAAACTTAGAGTTAAAATGACAATCTTAAAATAGTTCTGAAAATTATAAATTAGATAATGCTCGCAAACTAAACCAAACTAGATATAATATAAAACCGTATATTGATTCAATTTAATTTGGGAAAAAAATTAACCTGATACATTTTTAAATGTGATAGAAAACCAAAAACATTGTGTAAGACATAATGTGTGTGGTCTTTAATTTAATTTTAAAATAAATACGATTACCAAAAACACTTTTAAGATTATATTTGCTACCCGTTTACCTGATACCACACACTTCAAAGGAAAAAATATACTAAATATACCTAAGCCTTTTAGAAGATGACCACAAGTAATTTGTTTCATAAATAATGATATAATGTCCACACAGGCTACGGTAGAGTCAGGTTTAATGTTTGTCGCTTGTCTCATTTTGGTCATCTTAGTGGCGAATAGAAGTTTAATTTTGCTATTGTATAACGTACATGTATACATTTCAAATCAACTCATTAAAAAAATGACTCCGACTGGCTTAACTAGGATAGGATCTGCACGCCGACGGTGATTCTTTTAGTATTTTTTTTTTACAGTAATGTAGGTCATGTGCTTAAAAACACTACCATGAGCATAAAAACATTACCTCTTAAAAGTACCATTCAAATTAGATTTTCTATCCGAATTAAGATGATAAACGAAACTTTAGTTACTCTCCTTATTGTCCTAAAAAAATGTTGTTCTTACTTATAGAAAGTAAACCTAATTCTAAAATCAATACACCCTCACGTTGAGTGTTGCTGGGAGCAAAAGTAAAGGACATATTTAGGTAATACATACACAAACTGAAATAGTTTGTAAACTGAAAACGATGTAAGAAATACTATAATTTTGATTTAAATAGGTAAACCGTTGGCGTTTTCTGGAACTTTACTCTTAGTAAATATCAGGTCAGGATAGAATCAACAACTGTAAAACGACCCATAATACATATGGTTTTATTAGACACCCTATAAGACACATTAATTACGCCATTATAAATTGTTCATACTACATCTAAATTCTACAATGTACCTCACTTGAAAATAAACTCAGTGGCGTAGTCTAACAATGATTATCACATATATTTTGTGTGAAAAATGTTAAATGTATTATAAACATGAAGGCAGAGAACTAAAAGTTGCTGAGCGAAACAAAAAAAATTATGGTATAGGTAATCATTCACATCTTAAAACTGTTAAATGTAAAATAACGCATTTATTTAAGAGCACGAAATTATAATTTGTATCGAAAAAAATCATTTAATTTGTTATGATCTCTGTATAAAATTTCCTCGTTTATGAAACTTATACAATTGATAATAATATAATCAATGCTTAAACTATATCATACAAACCACATAAAAATGAAGAAGCATCAAGCCCTCAAAGTTCAACTAGATAAAATAGTAAATATTTCTGATGTGCTACAAAAAATAAAATAATAAATCAGTATGATAATATGCTGGATTACATACAAATGACTGAAATTAGAAGCTTTTGAACAACCACCAAATCATAAGTTTTTTCTAATGAAAATCAATTTAAATTATATTTATGAAACATTTATTCCTTTTCGACTAGACTAAAGAACATTCGATCTATGTATTTTTATTTTTTACTGTACCTTAACTGGTACTTGTAAAACTATGAACTTATGTGCATAGATATATAAAGATACACACACAAAATGGTTTTGTCTCTTACAGCCGTCGTTAAATACCATATACGAGTACTTAAATAGTAAACTAACGAAAACGTTCAAACAATTTTAGTTATAGACGATTGATTGCATTTATTTATGGTACATCATATATCATTTAGAAAATTTGAAAGGATATACACCGAATTATGTGATGAGATAAAAAATATGAGGTTAATATACAGTGTACATATTTTGGTACATGCAATGCAATTTTAGCTAAAATCTTGTATAAAGTTATAATAATAATATTTTTTTTAAAAATGAGGGGCTCACGAACAAATTAAATTGTAAATAATTTTGGTTTATTATAATTACGTATTTATTTATTAATTGGACGATCAGTAATGCAATGTTCTCGTGCATATTTATCAATGTTTATTCGTAAAAAAAATATAATAATAATAATATGTAACAATGGACGTGTTTGTATTCCCCCTAAATGGAACACTCACGATGCACTTGAAGATATACCTAGACATCTAAATGTCAGCTATTCTGGGGGCTGGGAAGTGTGAATTGTGTATAAACGTTTTCAGCATTATATACCTAGTGCACACAATATAAAATATTGAATATACACGAGAAAACGCAAACACGAAATATGAAATAAAAAATAGCGTGCGTGTTTACAGCAACGCACGAAATAAATGTACATTACGTTTTTTGGCATAACAAAAATAAATAAATGAAAAAGAAGATTTTTAAAGCGATTTTAAACGAAATCAAAGAATACTATTTTGATATTAATATTGCATTATGATTGTATACAGTCAAAAAGTAAAAATGTATGGAAAATATAATATAGTGGGTAAACATGTAGGTACAACACTATAGTGCACAGCAAACATATCATGTGATAAAAACAAAATCATAAATAAATAAACAAACGAGTATAGTTGTATTGAAAAAATCCAATGATTCCTGCTGAATATGTGCAAATAATATTCTTTCCGAGAACTTGAACTTGATTTTGGAACTGCCGTTTCGTATATTTTTTTAAATTAATTACATTATTATTATCTTATAGAACTACGGTCGCTTGTTTATAGTTGAGTTAAAAATAAATGATTTTGAATAAACAGCTATAAAAAGTTTTACTTCTGTATCTTATATTATTTTGTACTAATGTACACTTAATAAACAGAATAGTCTTTGTTATAATTTAATTACCTAGTTAATGAGGATCTTGAGAAAAGCATTACAGGAAAAATGTACCTATATCAGAAGGCTATCCGTTAAAACTTTAAAATAAACTGCATTCAAGTAATAAATTTGAAACATAAGCTGTCAACAATTTATCGTATCTGACTGTAAAAATACTAAAAATGTTTTGGAGTGCGTTTTTAGAATAGTTATTTTGTACTAGACATTATTATTATTGGGTTACTGGAATTGTTTGAACTAAAATAATTATATGGATTACTATAATTTATCAACAAAATATACTTGAAATGAAAATTATAATATTTTTCTTCCTACAATATAGGTACCTATCTATCTGTAATTTAATTTGATTGTAATTAATATAGCGTTTTATTTTTGCAACCACAGAATTAATGAATAATTTTATTCTACTTAAATTACATTTTATATGCAGTATAAAATATGTCTGAGATGTTTGAATTCCGTTTTTAATTAATTTTCCAATACACTTTTTGAAATAATATTTGATGTTCATTTAACTTTTAAAATCTTAACCTACAAAGGTGTGTAATAACGAAAAAAATCGTTCAGCCCTTTACCAAGACTCTACCAAGACATCTGGTAACTAGATAAGAAGCATCACAATATTCACAATTAAGATAATCTACTTATCATTTAATTGGTTCTTTAACTCATAAAAAGTTAGGATATACAATACAATATGTATCTAATATATATATACATGATAATTATTTTTCGAATCAATCTTAAAACTTACCTGAGCACAAATCCTATGGCAACGGTAGTGTCAAGGCGGATTTTCTTATCAGTTGTTGCCACGCGGAAGTGTTTCTGTCACGCAATGTGTCGTTAAATCCAAGATTCGTCATCTCCGAGATCGTGTCACCAACAATAATAATATGTCATTTCTTTCTCCCATATATTATGGACACCTGTTACACAAGTTACAAACACTTGTTGTGAATTCAATAGTAATTTATTTAAATCCGGAACATATAACTATAACACAGTTTTAAAATTAGAAATATAACTGTACAATCACGTAGATATACAATATAGAGTGTACATTAGTGTTTGTTTGTACATTTGAATTCTGTTGAGTTTTCATTTTTGTTCAGAAAATATTTAGGTTTAGATAAAATACCTATAAGTACAACAAAAAAATGATTTTTTATTTTAAACTTGATTGATTGTAAAATTAATTGTATTAATATAGTAGCCAAAAAATTAGTGCTTTTATATATTATCATTATAAATATGAAACGAAACTAAGAGAAAACGTTGTTTAGTCGTAAGTCATTTTGTATAACCTTAAGGGACTAAAAACTATTAATTCAAATTTGTGCTTGTCGGTTAATCTTAATGATCCTTGCACAACCATATAACAGATAAATTACATTGTCTTGAGTTGGGTGACTCACATAATTTTTGTTAGTTTCGTAAAATTGTAAAGAAATATTTTTAATATACAGATACATTATAACACAAAGATCTTATCGAAACTTTCTTTAATTTAATTAAACCGAAAACTATAATATTATTTATATTAATATTACATTTAAATTACTGATCATTAATATTAAAATAAGAATATCATTTTAATACTTGTACCTATATTTAACAACATTTTTCCATTTTGGAATATTACTTATTTTTAAAAATACACCAAGAAATAAGATTCGATTTTAGGTTAAGCCATATCATAATAATATATTTGTTTCATTATCCAATGATAATCTTACATAAATATTTGTATTATTTACTCATCAGCAATTTCTCGGCGGAGAAATAATAATAATGTTTATTATTATTATTTTAGTTTATTATACAAAACGATTTTATAATAATTGTATATAGTTTACGTAGTCGTTGAGCTATATTGTTTTAAACAATGACATACCATATTTTATATTAAAAAAATGTTTATTTTCGTATATTAATATTTTAATATTAACTATTGTTTATAAATGAATCATTGTACCGTAGCACAACATATTTTGTGTATGTAATACCTATTATGTGTAGGTAAAGTAGAATTACGTACCCTAATTTCGGGTAAAGCAACAGAACAATATTTTCCTCAGGGTGTTACAAGAACTTACATTTCATCAATAGATAAAGGTTTAATTATTCAATTTTATTAAACGTAATTATTTCATGTTAAAATAGAAATATAATATTTAACAGCTACGTATACACTATGTACAACACCGAAAACACAGCACGTCACTAGTTTTACACCATTGGAACAAATTTATAATAATTATGATAAATCGAGATCAACACGTTTGTATTATTAAAGACTTGTCAACTGGTGACAAAATTATTACATGGATAACCTATATTAAAAATAAAAAAATAACAGAAAATAATCATTTTAAAATTAACAATTAATCTACGTAACTAATTGTATAACATTTTTTAAGAGACAGGTGATTTATTTATGAATAAAAATATTTCAATTGCGATAAAATTTTTCTGATATTTGTGAAATAGCATAGCTTTTAAGTAAGTTTGACATCAAACTTTTAAAAATTATGAATGAATACATAATGCTAAAATAAGATCTACCTCTATTATTATTACTCTACATTTCGTAGTATAGCTGTTGCACCATTAAAACAAAAATTTCTGAGCGATGCACAGTTTCAACAATTATTTTAATAATAACGAGTGCTTATATATTTACACAATTTTATTTTCTTATACATTTCTATTTTTTTCTCAAAATTTACGCTTAATAAATTTTGTTTTAATAACAACGTCTTTTAAGATTGATGCTAATTAATTTTAATAGTTTGATATTTATTTGAATCAATCTTAAATTAAATTTGACTTATACATTGAATGTAGCTAAACTACAAAAATTAATTTCTTTTGTGTACCTACAACAATTATTTTTAAAGCCAGTTGAAAAAATCAATTATAATTCTATAAAAAAAATACCTTTGAAGTATTGTTTGTTTTAAATATGACTGAAAAGTGAAAGTGAATACTTTAGAAGTATAATAATAAGTTTAATAAAATTGTGAAGTAACTAAATTGCTACATTATAACATCTCAAAATATTGTTATTTATTTATTAAATAATACATGTCATTTATAATAATTATCAAATAAAATAACTATTAAAATATTAAAACTAATGCTAAGACACCAATATTGGCTGAATATGATTTATGAACACTATCATTTAGTAGATTAGAACCTGAAGAAAATTAAACGGTGTTATAATTAAATATCCATTATTTGCTTCTTAATGTCTCCTACTATAATATGAAAAATTATAAAATATAACTAATATACGGAACACCATTAGGCTAGTAGAAGTAATTACTTTATTTTATTACAGCACTAATTTAAATTTATAATATACGAATTGTGTTATGCAATAGTCACGAAAATGCTGAGCATTTGCAAATATTATTATTAATTAAAAACTATACATATTTATATTTTGTAATTTTATAGACATTAAAGAATCAGCTTTATCTTAATGAGTTATTTATTGTTCAATCATTATTATTTATAATTAAAACTTTATTTTAGTTTCGCCCCCACAAAAAAAAATACCATGACGATTATGTATTATTTTCATTTTAATTTTCTATGTTTAAATATCTTTCAGATATGTTATTTATTATGATTTACGGTCCTTTCATGTGTAAAGTGAATAAATCGGAAATTACATTAAATAATTTAAATAGTATCTATCAAATTTTATCGAAATTACATCATTATCGTTATTATAATATACGATAATCACAAACCACCGAACAAGTTAATATATACAGTAACTATATTACTCACACTACACAAAAATCCAATATATATTCTAATTTATAATACACATTAATATTTAATATAAAATTATAATTTAATATTATGCTTGTCGAGTGCTATTAATATTTATAAAAAAAAAACATTGTCGGATTAAAATGATTTTGTAGTATTCACTTTAATATTGTATTTTTGTAATCTATCTATTTTTTAATCCATTCGTAAGAATAAAATGTTAAACATAATATTTTAATTAATAAGTAATAAGTAATAATACTTTAAATAATATAGAATACGTATACAGTATTTCATTAAATATTTTTGAGTTAAACATTTTCTTAACATTCAGTAAACATATGCTAGGTTGACGTAACTCAATTTCATATTGGTTTCATTCCATATTTTAGTTTCCACAAAGAAAATAAACTAAATGTGCTCAAAACCTAACAGATGTATATTTAATTTAATAATTTATTACTCAAACAACCGATTTGTTGTTTTTGAATATTTTTGAATAGTTTATAGTTCCGCAGCTTTATAAAATGATACGGATAGTGTTAAATATAATGTCATTATATTTGACTCAAAGCATTGTTCTCTTCACACAGTACACAAGTATATTTGTTCATTAGGAATAAATATGATTGTTTTAAATGGAATTTTCGGTAAAAACTTTTGTTAATCATATACCTACACATTATACGGCATTCTGTAGCAAAAGTTTCTATAATATTTGAATATTTTATATACAAAACTAACTGAATGTTTGCTTTTATTTTAATTAAATAACTAAGATTATTCTAAGATTTAAGCTGGTTTTGCCTAAAAGTCAGATTTAAGTATGATAAATAAAGTTAATTACAATTTAAGTATGAGTACTTTTTGTTACGGCGCTTCAAAAAAACTTTTAAATTAGGTACTTGAGATATGTCATTATTGATCCATAATTTGTTTACAATTACAAAGTTACAAGATATCGATTTTAAATGAAATTTAATATTAAATAAAACATTTATTGTCTACAACACAGTAAGAATAAAATTGTTTTCTATTTATTTCCTGTCTTCTTATTTAACTACAGACATTTGTCTTAATTTTAAATTAACGTGTTTATAGTGTTTCTGGATGTGTTTTTCTTGAAAATATTGTACTCTGTTTTCAATAACCCGACTCGTGATTCACAATAAGGTTGGTTGTTCTGCATATTTTATCGTAATTAATGTACTCTTTATGTATAAGTCATCAACCCCAGAAGAATTAAAAAATAATCAAAAGTTAGGTATGTAGATAAGTGTCAAAATGTGATTCATCTCACTTATAAAATAGTATGTATGTCTTCTTTTGTACCTGTATATCTATTTCGAAAAAAACGAGGTAAAAGGGAAAATAAACAATCAAGTATTAGCTTTTATTAGAGTTATTTAAATTTATATTCGTTATACAGTTTTTAAATTGTATATAATTTTAATTTATGAAACAATAATAAAAAAATAATTGTTTTTATAAAAATAATATTATAGTTGATAGTTGATACTGCCATAAAACATAACAAAACACTAACAGATTAATTTACAATCGTTTTTACGAGAGTAGCCATATAATTAATAAAGTTTACTCAAATATCATTAGGTGTGTAAATTATTAGATAGTTCCATAAAAAAAAATAGTTATGATACCATAAATTGTTTCCTATAGATTAGTTTTGTTATACATAGAATAACTAATACGGTAAACATTTGTTGATGTGGACTAATATACTAATATATATTTAATGCTCGTCGGTGGATAAATAAATAACTTATATTTGAATTAACCGAGATATTTAGTTATACATACTGCACGTAATACACTACTAGGTATCTATTATCCGCCGACCAAGATTAATATATTATTATTATGTTAATTGGTTCTTTTGAACTGCATCTTGTAGTATATTATAATTAATTTCATGATCTAGAATTTACAACAAATTTACACATGTTAATATTGTTGTTAATCTATACCCAAAGCAAGCCCTCATAATATAATATAATGCAATAGTGTACACCATACATATTGTATAATACGTATATCGAAGTGAAGGCAAATAATTTTCATCGCTTAGCAAAATTGTCTGCACTGTCTGAACTGAGAATGTATTCGACGAATTTGT